AGCTCTGAGACTTTGGCCACCATCTTGGAACCAGCTTCAGGGTGAAGCTGATATCAAAACTGAGTCATTGGTGACATTGTTGAGCATTAAATTAAACCTTATCTGAAGCCAGATCACTTCTGGAATTTTCCATTTCATGATCTAATACATTTCCTTTATTTTGAAGCCAATTTGAATTTTTTTTTTTGTCATTTACAACCTAAAGCTTCCTAAATGATGCAATCTGTTGGAATTACCCGGTGCTTTCTTCCCAACTGACAAAGAGAATTGAGAAAATGAGGCCCACAGAGGGGAACTGACCTATCTGAGTTCAAATAGGTGCATAGTTGTGATCTGGTACTAGAAGACAGACTTCCTGTCTTCTGGTCTGTTCGTTTCTCATAAACTTCTTGGCCCACAAAACTATATAGATTGATGCTATTTTCTAGCTAAATTAGGATGCCTGGCATCCTTTCACTTACAAAACTAGTGAAAAATCTATTCTTATCTGTGGCTACTTAGACTCTTTGGATATGTAGCATTAAGAAGTTTTTGAGTCTGTGGAATGAAATCATAATGGGCCACCCTGCTTTTCTAATCTCTTCTTAAACCTGTATGTTATTTGCATTACTAAGTGTCTCCCTTGTGAAGCTAGACACAAGGCATGTGGCAAGCTCCTCAGAGTATTTCCATAGCAACCAGCAGGCATACAGAATACTTTGCTGAAACACAGGGTTTAGGAATAGGTATAGAGTCCCAAATCCGAATCCCTCCTAATTGCACACATTTTTCCTTATGTGTATACATCTATGTGTATATGTACACATGTGTATGTGTGCGTGTGTGTGTGTAAGTGGTAGACATCGAAGAATATAACTTGAGCATCTCTGTGACTAATCCTCACTCACCTTCTCTTTCCCTTCCTCGCTCTCTCCGGTGCATCACTTTACCACGGGCATGATGTTTTCAAGTCCCACCCCCCACCTTGAGACATGTCATCATTATTTGAAAGGAGAAAATCTTCTGTCTCTTTTAGCCAAGCATGTGTCATGTGTAGTGGTTGCTATGGAAATGCCTGAAAAGAGATCTCAAAGTAAAAAACAATCTTTTTTGTCTAAGCAATGAGTATGGAATGAGTTACTTTCTGAAACAATGTCTTACCTGTCATTGACGTGTACACCAGAAAGCTTGGATTTTCTAACCAAAAGCTTGGATTTTGTAACCATGCCAGCAAAAGGCATTGTACTTCCTGAAGCCCCAAAGGTGAGTCTGAGGCCCTGCTTCTTTCACAAGAAACTATTTCCCCCAGGTGACTTATCGTTCCCCACCTTATTCTCAGAAAAAGAACAATCTTCCTCATTTCCCCTAAGCACTTAAATATAAACTATTTTTTTTTTCATAAATTCAACAATATTTGTGCTAGCCCTGGAGAGCAGGACATTAACAGGGAGGCTACATATGAAGTTCCTGGTAATGCCCGCCCTGCGAAGAGAGAAGGAAGGGGGTGGGGCTGTGGTGTTAACAACAGTTTTATTTCTTGAACAAATCATTCTGAAGTAAATGTGAAAACGGTTAACATTTTAAAAGTTTCTGTTGTTGATTACACGAGTTTTTGCTATTCTTGGTTCTCTTTTGTATTTTTCAATGTGAAAAACAGTTTGTAAACACAAAAGGAATTCTGACCAGACATCTGACTAATGTGTACTGAGTGGTAAGGTGAAGGGAAGAGAAGGGGGTCAGTGAGATTGGACCATTCTTGCAAGACATTTGGTAGGAAAGGGGAAGAGAAAGATGGGCTGGCAGAAGGATCAGGGCTGAGCCCTATGCTCTGGGAAAGACATGAGCATATTTAAATGCTAGTAGGAAGGATCTCATTGAGAGGGAGGGTCTGAATGTGCAAGAGACAGAAGAGAAGTTGTTCATAAGAAGATAAAGTGGAAGGGCCAAAGCACAGAGGGAGGAACTGGAGTTGGGGTGCACAGGAGGTATCTAACCTTACCTGAGTAAGTTCAGAGTCAGTTTCTATGGTGGAAAGTGGAGGGTCTTCTGGTTGATGGTTTTTTGTGGCAAACATGCACACGCACACATGCACACACACACACACATATACAAAACTTTATGGAGGTTAGAGGTCGATTGTGGTAGCTCCTTATTGCTAAGTTTACAGCAAAGGTGATCTCACTGCTGCAGTAGTATCTCCTGGCTCTGCTGGCCCCAGAAATGCTGCAGCTTCTGTGTCCTGCCCTCTCGTTGCCTCTAGAATCCGAACATTTTTCTTCCCCCCATCTCTACAACCACTGTTTTGCTTCAGGGCATCATCATCCTTTATGTAGATTATCTAAACAAGTTTTCCTAACTGACCTTCCTATTTCCAATCCAGTTTGCAGAGTGAAACAAGAATTCTACTGCTGAAACACAATTCTATTAAAAGAATTCCTGTGGTTAAAACCCCTGCTGAGCTTTCTTCAAGATGAAAGTCAGCCTCCTACAGCCAGCCTACAAGACACTTCATAATCTGGATGGAGCCTGCCTCTCTCATCTCTCCTCATGGCATACTCTTTCCCAGAATCATATGGAAATGCTACACCTCAAATTTCCCCATGTCCTCTCTTGTCTGTGGGCATCTGCACTTGTCCCCTCTGTCCTGTTCACTTCTTCCCACTTCCTAACCTTCACCCAGATGACACAGGATTTAGATGGCTTTCTTCTTCTTTCTTCTGGCTTTCTTCCAGAAACCTCTCCTGATCCCCCAGGACTAGAGTGGTTGCCTCTTGAAAGGGCACCAAAATCGTCCTCTATCATTGATCTCTGTCTTTGTCGTTAATCTCTGTCTCACTCTGGATTTGTATACATACTCTAAGACAAAATCTGTATCATGTTTACCACTGTATACTTAATATCTTGCACAGTGTCTGGCTTATGATAAGCATTTAGAAATTGTCAGCTAAATGAATGAATAACTGAATGAATAATTCTTTTTCAGAAAGTGAAATTGTCACTTAGGATGATCAAGGTCTTTGCCTAAAGTTCCTTCTTAAGCGAATAAATAGTAAATTTGAGTCTCGAGGTTTCTTGCCCTACCCTTCCCCTCCTCTCTTCTCTTTCCTGCATCATCTCTTGCCCTGGTAGATTTCATCCACATGGCTAGCCATCTATATATTGATGACTAACAAATGTATATTTTCAGCCCACAGCTCTTTTCAAGTCTCCAAAGTCACATCCAATAGGCTAGTCAACATTTCTTCTTGGGGATTTCAAGCTTAACATCATCTGACTAATTTAGTCTCTTTTCAAAGCCTCATTGAAAGTCTGATTGGCCTGACATGGATCAGGTGACTATTCTTGTTCCCAAACAGTGATTATGGTTACATGAACACAGAACGATGGGAACACAGGGAGAAATGGCCCAACACTGGCAGGAGGGTCAGAAGAGACCTCCTAAAGAAGTTATATGGAAGAGAAATACTTGTAACAGAATTCTCAACATTATCCTTCCATCTTTGGATCCAGGAAATCAGTTGGTCAATTAAGAGCACCATCCTCAACTTGGTTGGAAGACATCCCTGACTTTGAAATAGGAACATTTGACATTCCAATGTAGATTCCTCCAGAAGAGCCATCCCATCATCCTATCTTGGCTCCCAGCTCAACCGCTCTGCAGCAAGTCCTGACTCCAAAACCCTGTGGGAAACTCAACTACAAGATCATAGCTTGAAAATAGAGTGTGCATCTGGTGTGGATTGTTGTTTTGGTTTAATTAGGACTTGCTGTTTCCTGAATTCCTATAATTTCATTTGATGAATTGTGTTAGTTACTTGTTCTGCAGTCTTTGAACATGTGGCATTTATCAGGGGAAATGACTCCCTCTTTCCCCTTTGAAAAGCATCTTTTGCTGCATAAAAAAGGGCAAATACGTTTGGTTTTTTGTGTTTTGATTTTTTTGTTTGTTTGTTTTTTTGCTCTCTGTAAAATTACAAATGCTGTGATAGACATTAGCTTCTCTGTAGGAAGAAGGGCCTGGCTCCAGTATGCATTTACCACGTCCAGTTCAACACACTCCAATGGGCACCTATGTGTGCACAGCACAGCGTGAGTTATGAAGATGAGTAAAACAGTCTTTACTCTTTCAGGATTTCCCAAACCAGTTCAGGAGGCAGATACACTGACAAGTAAGTACAATACTAGACAGACCAAGATAAGAGCCGTAATAGAGATAATTATCCCTTTCATTTGTTTATTCTGGTTCAGTTTACAAAGAAATTCCATGTACATTACCTCATTTGACCTTCACAAGAGCTCTATGAGGTAGTGTCATTATTGTCATTTTAGAGTCCTAGATAAGCAAGGCTCAGAGAGATTAAATGTCTTGCCCATGTTCCCACAGCTAGTAATTGGCATACGGGTCTTGTAAATCCCATTCTAGTACGATAGAAGGACAGGGGTGGGGGAGAATAGTTTAAACTGAAGCAATACAAGAAAGTCTCATGGAAGAGGTGTGATCTAAATTGAGAGCCTCTACCTTCTGGATTAGAAATGAAAAGGAAAGGAATTCCAGAGAGAGGAGAAATCTAGAAGTAAAGAAATCTGTGAGGTGGGTAGTTTGGGGAACTATGACCTTCCAGTTGGTACCATCATAATTAATGGAACAAATATAAATTGAGGACTATATTAAGTACTTTTACACAAATCAAAAGAGAGCTGTTCTTACCCTCAAGGATTATACAGTATTCAGGGAAACAGAAACATAAACCAAAATAGTGGCCCTACTGTGAGATACACATAAGTACTATAGAAGTACGGCTTTTATTTTTGTTTGTTTATATTTCATTTTGTTGCTGTATTGATTGGCTGCAGGGAAGGTGGTTTTAAAAAGTGTGTGGAGATTAAATTGCTCTAAGGAAATCAATGTTTTAGGAAGCTATTAGACATTAAGTCAGGCTTTGAGAATGAGAGCTATTTAAAAGCTCTGAGTAAGCCAGGGCTGCCATGCTTTGTGCCCAGCAAGCATTCTCGGGGTGGATGTCGGGGGCGAGCCATGCTGCCTAGCAATGCTCACTGGGCTTGAAGAGAGATTGGCGCATTGGAGGAAAATGAGGTGAGCAATCTGTGTGAGGTGCTGAGCTGTGCTGATTCATGCACCTTGACACAAACTAACCCCTTGGAAGAAAGGGGGCAAGAGAAACTGGAGGAAGATTGCTGTCTCTGGAGACAAGGCAGGCCAGAATTGTAGCAGCTGAATATTGACGGAGTCAGTGTATTCCTGGCAGGTTGCTGGCACATATGGAGCACAATTCACTTAATCTTTCCCTAGGCTTTCTGAAATAGATCAGACAGGTATCCTAAATGCATTTTACAGGCAGTAAACACTTTCAAGGGAGTTACATAACCTACTCCAAGTTGCATTATCCGGCTGCAGCAGAGTGGAATTTCAAAACTAGGTCTATCTGATCTCCAAACCCACAGCAAGGGTGTATTAACAGAATAAGAATTTTATATTAAGTTTTATCTTAGTTCATTAGTTTATTAGTGTGGCAGACATGTCATGTTCAAGTTCCCAAAGTTTGGGGAAATTATAAAGAGTGTTGTGATCAGATTTGGGAGACTGTATGTGGCATATGTGTGTGTGTGTGCATGTATGTGTGTGCGGGGGCAGTACCTAGAGGGATATATTTAGTTAAAAAACACTTTTCATTTTTTTTTTTTAAACATAAGATGAGAAAAGCCCATTTGTGCTCTGGTGGGAAGGACAGTAAAAGATTGGTGATAGGAGAGAGAGGGAAGGCTAAGGAGGCAAATTCTGACCAAGGTCAAAGGCATGGGTCCCAGAGTACAAGTGGAGCAAAGGAGATCCTTCTTCCACCTCAGAGGAGGGAACAAGGTGGCAATAGGGGAGGTGTGGGGACCTCATAGTGGCACTTCCAGTGTCTACCATTGTTATTATTGTTGTCTTTTTGTCTGTTTGCCTCCACTTAACCTTTTCGTTTCGTTTTTACAGCTTTATTGAGGTATGCTTGACATACAATAAATTGTACATATTTAAAACGTACAATTTGATAAATGTTGACTTACACATAAACCCCCAAAACCATCACCACAAGCAAGACAATGAACAGAATAAGATGACTCATTTGCCATCAATCACCTGAGTTTTTTTGTGTCCCTGTGTGATTTCTCCTTCTAGCTCCCCACCCCATACCCTAGACTACTTAGGCGAATGCTGATCTATTTTCTGTCACTGTGAATTTGTTTGCATTTTCTAGATGTTTATATAGATGGACTCATACTACATGTACTATTTTTCGTCTGGCTTCACTTATTCACTTTCACTCAGCATGATTACTTGAGCTCATCCACTGCATGTATCAGTAGTTCATTCTTTTTTAGTGCTGAAGAGTATTCCATTGCATGAATGTACCACTATTATTTTATCCATTCACCTGTTGAAAGACATGGTGTACTTTTCCAGTTTGAGGTTATTACAAGTAAAGCTGCTCTGAATATATTCATGCACAAGTGGTTTCTGGATATATGTTCTTATTTCTCTTGGGTAAGTGCCTGAGAGTGGAATGACTGGAATAGATGGTAGGTATATGTTTAACTTTTGATGAAACTGGAGATTTTCTTCCCCCAAAGTACTTAAACCATTTTAGACTTCCACCAACCAAGTTCCCATGCTCCCTCTCCATATGGACACATGCTATGGACAGTCTTTTAAAAATTGTAACCATTCCCTTCTTCACATCAAAAACTAAGGATGTACTGTATGGTGACTAACATAATAAAAAAATAAATAAAAAAATAAAAACTGTAACCATTCTCATAAATGTGGGATCTCATTGTGGTTTCTATTTGTAAGTCCCAAGAGACTAATGATATTGAACATCTTTCATGTGTTTATTTGCCATCCATATATTTTTTTTGGTGAAATTTTGTGTAGGTCTTTCCTCCATGCTTTTTATTTTCCTTGTTATTGGGTTTTGAGATTTCTTTATGTATTCTGAATACAAAATCACAATCAGATATTTCATTTGCAAATATTTTCTCTCCAATTGTACCTTGTCTTTTAATTTTTTTAACAATGTCTTCCACAGAATAAAAGTTTCTCATTTTTATGAAGTCCAAATTATCAATTGTTCTTTTATTAATTAGTTATTGGTGTCATATCTGAGAAGTATTTGCCTAACTCAAGTTCACAAAGATCTTCTCTTGTTTTCTAACAGAAGATTTAATAGATTTAGTTTTACATTTAGGTCTATAATCCACTTTGAGTTAATTTTTGTATATGCTAAAGGATTTGGATCTAAGTTCCTTTTTTTTTTACATTTAGATAATCAGTTGTGCCAGCACCATTTACAGAAAAGACTACCTTTTTCATTAAATTCCCTTTGCAATTTTGTCAAAAAACCATTGCCCATGTATATATGGGTTTATTTCTGGACTCTGTTTCATTGATCTATTTGTCTATCTTTTCATCAATACTACTTTGACAACTCTAGCTTTATAATAAATCTTAAAATCAAGTAGTATAAGTCATCTGACTTTGTCCAAAGTTGTATTGGCTATTCTATGAACTTTCATATATATTTCAGAATCAGCTTGATAATTTCTGTAAAAAAGACCTCCAAGATTAATGGGATCCTATGAAATCTATACTTCAATTTGAGAATAATTGGCATCTTTTTAAAACTTTATTTTGGAATAATTATAGATTCATAGGAAGCTGCAAAGATACTACAGAAAATCTTTTGAGTGTCCTTCAGCCTGTTTACGCCAAGGAATGATTACATAATTGTAGTACAATATCCAAATCACGGATATATATTGGTACCAATATAATATTTGGTACCATAAGTATGTGTAGTTCCGTCTTTTTATAACTCATGCAGGTTTGTGTAGCCATCACCACAACCAAAATACAAAATTAGTCCATCACCACAAAGATCTCCCTTGTGCTACTACTCTTTTATAGACATATCAACTCACCTCCCCTACCATCTCTGGCCTCTGGAAATCACTCATCTGTTTTCAAACTCCGTAAAATTTTTGTTTTGAAAGTGTTACACAAACGAATTAATACTGTATGAGACTTTTTTAAAGATTTTATTTTTTTCAAACAGTTTTAGGTTTACAACACATTTGAGAGGAAGGTTCAGAGATTTCCCACATATACTGTGCCCCCATATGCATAGCCTTCCCCATCATCAACATCCCTCACCAGAAGGGTACCATTTTTGTGAAGGCTGAATCTACACTGCCACATCATAATCACCCAAAGTTGATAGTTTACCTTAAAATCCACTCTTGGTGTTGTACCTCCTATGGGTTTGGACAAATGTATAATGACATGTATTCATCATTATAATATCACATGGAGTATTTTCATTGTCCTAAAAATCATCTGTTCTTCCTATTCATCTCCCTACTTCACTCCCTCCACTTCTGGAAACTAATGTTTTTATTGTGTCCATAGTTTTGCCTTTTTCAGAATGTCATGTACTTGGAATCATACATTATGTAGGCTTTCAGATTGGCTTCTTTTACTTAGCAATGTGCTTTCAAGTTTCCTCCATGTCTTTCCATGGCTTGATAGGTCATTTTTTTTATTATTATTATGTTATGTTAATCGCCATACAGGTAGATCATTTCTTTTTAGCACTGAATAATCTATTGTTTGGATGTTACACAGTTTATCCATCCACCTAGAGAAGGGCATCTTTGTTGCTTCCAGGATTTGGTAACTATGAATAAAGCTGCTATAAACATCCATGTGCAGGTTTTCTTGTGGACAAAAGTTTTCAACTCTTTTAGGTATATATCAAGTACTGCAATTGTTGGATCGTATGGTAAGAGTATGTTTAGTTTTGTAAGGAACTGTGAAACTGTCTTCCAAAGTGGCTCTACCGTTTTGCATTCCCACCAGCAATGAATGATAGTTCCTGCTACTCTGCTTTCTGGCCAGGATTTGGTGGTGTCAGTGTCCCAGATTTTGGCCATTCTAATAGATATGTAGTGGTATCTCATTGTTGTTATCATTTGCATTTCCCTTGTGACAAATGATATGGAGCATCTTTTCATATGATTATTTGCCATCTCTATTTCTTCTTTGATGAAGTGTCTATTCAGATCTTTGACCCACTTTATAGTTGAGTTGTTAGATTTTTGTCAAGTTTTAAGAGTTCCTTGTACATTTTGGATAACTGTTTTATCAGCCACATCTTGTTTTTTGTGGGGGTTTTTTTTGTTGTTGTTTTGTTTTTTCTTTTCTCCCAGTTTGTGGCTTCCCAGTTTGTGGCTTGTCTTCTAATTCTCTTGATATGTTTCACAGAGCAAAGTTTTTAATTTGAATGAAGTCCAGCTTACCAATTATTTCTTTCATGGATCGTGTTTTTCATGTTGTATCTAAAATGGGGATCACCATATACAAGATCATTTAGGTTTTCCTCTATGTTACCTTCTGGGGGTTTTATAGGTTTGCATTTTACATTAGGTCTGTGATCCATTTTTGTGAAGGATGTAAGTTCTCTGTCTACATTCACTTTTTTTGCATGTGGATGTCCAGTTGTTCCAGTACCATTTGTTGAAAAAAATCACCTTTGCTCCATTGTACTGCTTTTGCTCCTTTGTTAAAGATCAGTAGGCTATATTTATGTGAATCTGTTTCTGAACACTCTATTCTGTCCCATTGCTCTATTTGTCTCTTTTTTCACCAATGCCACACTGTCTTGATTAGTGTTGCTTTATATTAGGTCTTGAAGTGGAGTAGTATCAGTCCTCCAATTTTGTTCTTCAATATTGTGTTGGCTATTCTGCAACTTTTGCCTCTCCATATAAACTTTAGAATCAGTTTGTCAATATCCATGAAACAATTTGCTGGGATTTTAAAATTGCATTTAATTTATATACCAATTTGGGAAGAATTGACATCTTGACAATATTGAGTTTTACTATACGTGAACATGGAATATTTATTTATTTATTTAGTCCTTTGATTTTGTTTGTCAGAATTTTGTAGTTTTTCTCATATAAATATTGTATATATTTGCTTGATTTATACCTAAGTATTTCATTTTGGAGGTGCTAAATACATGTTATGAT